AGGGAACTTCCTGAAGAGGTGCCACTTTACAAAGTCTAAAATTAAACTGTGTGTGCGTGTGTGTGTGTGTGTGTGTGTAGGGTACTGCGAGTACTGTGTTATTCTGAGGCGTCATTCTGGGAAGACCACAGAGAACCTGATACCTCCTGGACGAGCAAGGACAGAGCTGGGTCATTCACAGAGAGAGAGAGAGAGAGACTGAAAGAGCAAGGGCGAGAGAGAGAGAGAGACTGAGAAAATCTTTTTTTCATGTATTTCACCCAAAAGAGACCCAAAGAGAGTTTTCATCTGATAGCAGAATTCTATTTCTACACTCAGACATTAGTGTGATCTGGTACTAGAGAGCCCCCCCCCCCCCGATCCTGAGTCAGTCTGAAGAGTCTGGGTCATCTAAAGGTCAGCGTAAAGGCCGTCGCGGTGACTAGACACCTCCCACCGTGCCAGAGAGGTTTTACAGGAGCACCTGTTCTGATCTCACTCAGCAGTCAGACCTCCATCTACCTGTGTGTGTGTGTGTGTGTGTGTGTGTGTGTGTGTGTGTGTGTGTGTGTGTGTTAACCTTAGCCATGCCGATAGAGCTGGCGTTGATCTCAGTGATGCCCTGGTTGGTTTTGTCTCCTCTCTCCCACATCCCGTAATCCTGAGAGGAAGCAGAAGAAGAAGAAGAACACAACAGCGTTCAAATCTAATTCACGTTTTAAAATCGAAGGAAAAAAAGATTCAAAACGATGATCAAACAAAAACACGAGCTTGTTGACAATGAATTAACACTTAAAACCAGGGCGCGACCTTTGTGAGATTTTTAGGGCTGATACTGATATTGATATCAGAGAGAGAGAAAAAAAAATCTGATACCGATATATCGGCCAATACAGATACTCCATAATCCATATAGCGCCCTCTGCTGGTGAAAGAGAGCGGCCAGTGCAATTCAATGAAACTCAAATGAAATGTTATTTGACTGCTGAATAAACCTAGAAATATCAGCGCATATCTTAGATACAATTATCACTGGATAAGCTAATATCGGCTGATATTATCGTCTGGTAGATAAATCGGTCGACTTCTACTTACAGCCACTTTGTACGCTGCTTCAATGTAGAACATGAGATTCTGAACTACGTCCACTTCATCCTGGGTGTAGACGATGTGGAGACCTGGTGCAAACGCAAAACAAAACAAGAGAAACAGAAAGACATAGAAGCATTTTCAGTATTTTACCTTCACTCACACAGTGTACATGGGTTTTGATGGTTTTGCACATTTACCTGACGCCGTCATCTGAGCGAGGAACAGCAGGAAGAGCGAGGTGGCGTCCACCTGTAGGTGACCCCACTCGTCGTCCCCGACAACAGGAGCACATGTCCGCGTGTTGTACTTGGCGTGGAGCGAGTCGGAGGTGCTCCTGCTGTATTTGAACTTCTCCACCTTATCCAGCTTGGAGGGCACGGTGACAGAACAGACTTTACTTCAGTTTATATCTCGATACATGAGCTCAGATATTCACCTTTTTCATTCACCTCATTCATCAGTTAACAACGTTAACAAAGGATTACAAATAATGCGACACGCCTGCAGCACATTGTAGATTCTTTTAGCTCATTGTTTTGGATTTTACAGCCAAACATATAAATGTTTTGGTCGCCTGTCAGGGAACATAAAGAGCTGCACAGTTTGGGGCTACAAGCACAGCAGTACATGATAATTAACATCTAGGCAGTGAACACAGTGAAACATTCAATGACTTAAATACTCTCAAATATTTACAGTAAAAGAGTCACAACTGAGCTTAGATTTATCACATGGTCCCAAACAGGACGTCAAAGAGGCATATCTTGTTTGACACAACATACCTGCCTCATTATGCACTGCAGGATGCCTCTCATCAGCTTCACCACACTCTGGAGAAAGAGAGAGAGAGAGAGTTAAATGTCAACACGTTCACACATGACTCCTTCAGTCACGGCAGAGAAACACGAGACTCACACGGGGCACCACATGGACTCAAGCTGGACTCGAGGTGGGAACTGAACGATTTAAAGAATACTTTTGAGAATTTAACACGACGATCTGGTCTCTCATGAACCCAGAACACAGACGAGCATGTACCTGCTCCAGCTCGTACGCCTTGGCCTTGTCCTCGTCCCTGTCGGCGTTCTTCCTGTAGGCCAAACTGAGGGCCCACACAGACACCACGCTGTACACGTTGTCTCTGACCCAGGCGTGGGGCTGATCTGGACTGCCGGGCAGAAGACCCGTTACAGGATCCTAAAAGACACACAAACACACATCAACAAAAGTAACATCAACAAACAAAACGGCATGGGTAGATGTGACATACCGCAAAAAACTACATTTCCCATGAGCCCCATTGTTCACTGTTGCAAAGAGGATGTTGTTTCCTGCCAGAATATCAGACCTTGATAACATCACACACGAGGTAAAGTGGAACTACGACAAGGTTTTCTGATAAACTGGTGTAACGACTCTCTAACGTCCCAATGTTCAAGTCCAACTTGTAGTCACTTTCGTCGGCATAATGGAAGGTCTCGACGCGTCAATCAAAAAAATAAACAAATGTCCATAAATGGACTAAGTTTGGGTGACGTTCCTGTTTGTTGCAAATAATGAAGCAGAGAAATAATTACTGGGATGATGATGTAAAAAATTATGATGGATCGTTGTTGAGATGTTTACTGTAAGAACTGTATGTTCCCACCATCTTCGTTTTCACCCGCGGCCAATTAACCAAAATATTTCATTTCATTTTTGTTTGTTCCGTCAAAACACACTACGTTTTTCTGTGAACGTCATTTTTCCGCAATTTTATCCCAATCCATGTTTTCGGAAAGAGGCAGGGAGAAGAAAAAAAAACGGAAAAAAAAATTTGCCTGCCCCCTTACTCAACAAGAAATCAAGAAACATCTAAATGGCCTGTCCAATTACAATCACTTGGCAACCAATGCCATGGCAACATAAAACAAATCTCACAATTTAGAATCTTTGACTCCACTTTCACCATATTAACACCATCTAGTGTCCAAATCAAGAAAACAAACACCAAAACCATTGAAATACAAACACATCAGTATGAAAGTCAACAAGTTCAACAACATTAAGGCTCCATTTTTAGCTTCTTCATGGGAAAAAAAAACCAACAAAGAACAAGGATTTGGGGGTTTAGAGAAGTCTTTGTATTTTACTAATAGAGTTCCCTGCAGGTCTCTGGCTTCAGAGTGCCACATTTCCAAACGTAGACGGTCAGATTTACTTGTTTCAATCCTCCTATCCCTCTTTATGAACGTCGTCTTCCTGGACTGTTTGCCTTGCAGCAGTCGCAGAAAGCCTCACTTTGCATCAGTGCAGTGATCCATCTGAGCACCGAGCTGTGTACAACTACAGGGCTGGATGACGGCCATCTGGGACAGATTCAAAGATGACTTCATCCTGAATTTGTCTGCTTCCACAATCCAGCTGATGCCTCTTCTGGTTAATACAGAAACACAAGATGTAGAAGAACCAGGACAGGCAGGTTTGTGATATGCAACCATCTTTGTCTGTTAGCGTTTGTCTCCATTTGTTGAGGATAAAACCCAGATAAAGAAGCACTTGTCCAACTTTTTCCGCAGCTCCAAGATGCCTGGGATTTAGGGGGTTTTGGGCCAATACTTGTACCTCTCTGCAGATATTGCAAACACATCAGAACTGGTTAGCACAGCACGCATAAAACCACCTCCAAACACACTTGTTCCCTCCATGTTGGAGCAAAATGTCTGCAAGTTGTGTGCAAGTAGAATTAGCTGGGGTTGGAAACCGGAGGGTCGCCGGTTCAAGTCCCGGTGCGGACCAAAAATACGAAAGTTGTTCTTGTAATCTCTCAATAACAGAGTGTAAATTCCCTCAGGGATTAATAAAGTTTTTTAAGAAATTCAATTCAAATCACTTTAAATGTGTAATAGTTTTTTTTAAGAAGGCGTTCCCACTACTTGTTGGCTTCCTCCCCTCCACTTTGGAAAACCACTGTTCATGATTCCAGTGTGTTTCCAACATTTGAAGAGACACTTTTGGGGGAAGCAACTTTTCCTGTGACGTCATGTAATCCCCCCTGTGTCTGACTGTGTACTTCTGACGTCATGTAGCCTTTCTGGATGAGGGTCATTTGAAGTGTTTGAGGCCTCAAACTTTGACTCTTTGGCAACAATAAACGAAAACACACTCTTACAATGGAGTAATGAGTGTGTAATATATGCACGGTGTGTGTGTGTGTGTGTGTGTGTGTGTGTGTGTGTGTGTGTGTGTGTGTGTGTGTGTGTGTGTGTGTGTGTGTGTCGCAACATCACTTTGCTTCACCTCCTGCATGCATGACAACATTTGACTGTGGGATCTCTGCATGCATGACCCGTATGAAGCAGTTTCTAAACTTTATATAACTTCTAATTTAAGTGTTTAAGAGCAGCAACATTAAAAAACTCACCTGGTGCCGTAAGATAGTTTGTTGCACCATCCGGGCATAGTTGTCCAGTTTAACTCCCGAGTTGCTCCTGCTTCTCATGCTGACAGGTTCAATGGTTCACTTCAAGTACTCAACAAAAACAAACTCGTTATTTCCTCTAAAGTTAAGTCATTTCTTTTTGGAAGCTGCTCGGAACTCCAACAAGCCGAAAAACCTCCGAGGAAAAGCTTTTCAGGGCGACCAGGAAAGCTGCCTGGCTTGTCTTTTAAACAGCTCCCACGACGGATATCAAAGCAAGTGTTGTAACCTGAAGCTGCGGTAAGTCAGAGGCAGGGAGAACCGGAAGTGACTGGGGCGAAGAGAAGTGGCCTTCAAAGTAAAAGCGTCGTAATTCAGTCAATTAGTGGACTTTAAAGGGAGTCATGTGGAAAAATTAACACTTAACATGCAGCTTAATTGCATATATTTTAAGTTAACACTAAAACATCGTGATTTTTAACAAACAGGGTTCCAAAAAAAGGCAATTTTTTAAGATTTAAGAGTCAAGACTTTATTGTAACTCCAGTTGTGGGCTACAAATGTTGTGAAGTTGTAAGTATTCAATATAGGGTTAGGGATAATATATAATATAGGGATATATTATATATTATATTATAATATATTATATTATATTATATTATAGGGTTATGTATAGGGACATAAAATAAAATGTAACAATCGAAAAAAGAATCAAATTTAAAAATAACAATAGGGATTATGAGAAAAATATGTAGGCTACATTTGAGGCAGATTCTATGAAATAAGTACTCATTCTCATTAATAAACAATATATCAAGATTTCCCAAACAATTTATTCTTTACGGGAATTTGACAAAAGTAAAACAGGTCCTTAAAAACACTTTTGACATACAATGGTTCAAATATTTTTGAAAGTTTAGAATTAAGTAATTAAACAGCATTGCAGATTATATAGAGGGTAAAGAGATTATACTGTGATATAAATAATTATGCTTTCAATCGCTTTAATTTATTTCCAGTTAAACAAAAAGTATGTATTTTTGCGGCAGTCTGTAAGAAACTGTACTATGGGCTATTTTTCAACCATAGGAGAAACTACAAACTCTCTTGGACTCAGACACAGTTACTAAAAAAGATAAGGGGTAAAAGATTAAACAGTCACGTCATATATTTGGTTTATTTTTTTAAATGTACTTTACTTTGATTATTCTCCCGGAAGTGCTATAATTCGTTGTATAACTTGACACTAGTGTAAAACAGGAGTTTGCAGAGTATGAAAGAGCATTGGTTTAAGTTGACCTGTTCGGGATAAAAGCTATGAATTGTAATTCTTAATAGAAAAGTAGAACACACCTGTAATCGCTTTGCAGATATTTAAACAGCGTGTGTGACACATCACAGAAAATTCAACCAGGAAGCAAAATGAGGCAAAAACAAGGAAACCTCCCCCGGAACTAAGACTTTTAAAAGCATTGTTACAGTTCAATCAGTATTTCATTTAGTGGAGTTGTTAAGCATTGAATGCCGTCAGTGATACATTTTACCATACCACAAAACTACATACATACACAATTGGGACGTGGGCAGTACAAGTAAGCGGTTTTTGGCGGCCTCTAGCGACAACCATGTATAACATGACCTTTACTCAACAACTCTGCTTGTTCTGGTGCCTCTTACACTTATGGTTTTATGTAGTTATATAATAAAAATAATAATAATAATAATAATAACTTCATTTATATAGCACCTTTTAAAAACACAGGTTTACAAAGTGCTTTGACAAACAGCAAAAACAAAAACAAACTAAACCAAACACAGAAGAACATAAACAACAGCAAGAACATAACAAATGTAAAATACTAAAAATAATTAAATACAATTCAACAGAAAAGAACCCAAAGTGCACGATACCCAACAGACATATAGAACCAGACCATCACAAGAACCATCATAAGAACCCAGGAAACACAAGAACCATCATAAGAACCATCATAAGAACCCAGGAAACACAAGAACCCAACAACACGAGCTGAGACCAAGAGGACCAAAGATTTAAAAAGATGTAAGAAACTAAAAGAGCTAAAAGTAAATAAAAAGATAACAGCAATAAGAAGGTAAGAGCAGGAAAAGAAATAGAAACAAGTGATTAAAGGATAAAAAAAAACAACTATAATATTTATATATATTATATAAATATAAAAACATAAATAGACAAAGTAAGTAAGATAAGAAATTACCAAGTTAAAACACAAGAGGAGTTAAGATAAGAGCATCAATAAAAGGACAGTAAAAAGTAAAAGAAGATAAAAATAGTAAAACCAGTAAGAAAATACATTAAGAAGACGATATCATCATAGACTGTAAATATTATAGTTATACTGAATTCAGCTTTTTTTTGTAAAAAAAAAAAGGCTTTTGAAAACGTTTTAAATTTTAAGATTTTACCCCCCAAATATAAAAATTGAAAGTATTCTGAGTAATCAGTTGAATAGTAATGTGTTATTCTAAAAGTGTTCTTCGTATTTATGAAACAATGTCAGCTTGAAGCTTCTTCTTTTTTTTTTTTTTTTTACAGTTTATGGCTGAAACGTGAACTTTAAAGAAATGCCTACAAATCCCAGCATGCTCCTCGCTCGCTCGCTCCGCCCGCGTTCCACTTTAGAACGTCCGCGCGTAGGAACGTTTCTTTGTCTGACGCGTTTTAAAAAAAAAGTGTCGATATTACGGTTTATAAAATGAGTTAAATACCGAAGATATTTTTATTTTTATTTTAACGTTTCGTGGAAAGTTGTCGTCCATTTTTACCGAACACCGACAGCCCGCCTTGAACTGAAGCGACTGTTGACGGTGTAACACACCAGGGGAATGTTGACGGTGTAACACCAGACGCCGCTCGCTTCTTGTCTTCACTGTGAATTTTCCTCTTTTTTGTTTTACCGTCGTTTTCTGTTAAATTCTTCACTTATTATCCGTCGTAAATGAGTTGCGGGGCAGACAGCGACGATGACAGCTGCCGTAAACGGAGGGTGTCGTACGTGTACAGCCCGGAGTACATTGAAACTTGCGACAGTTTATCCAAAGTGCCAAACCGGGTGAGTTCAAGTGAAACGTTTACAGGTCACATTTTATCATCATCACCTCTTTGTGCTTAATCTATTGACTCCCATTTACAGGCAAGTATGGTGCACTCACTGATAGAAGCCTATGGACTCCTTGAACACATGAGGTGAGATAATGTCAGATTATTAACCAAAACAAAGGTATTAGTGAGACTTTAACATGTTTATATCACAGAAGACTGTAGAAACATCTATCTGCTGATCTGACTGTTTCATTAAATATCTGTGAGGTCAGGGCTTCTTACATTTACTCATTTATGACTCTGTTTTTACACATTTACATTTAATCTTTCTTATCTAAGACGAGTAATGTTCAGTTAAATCCTGGTTGTATATATTCACAGTCTTAGTTTTGATATTTTTAGTACTTATTCACTTTGTATTTAATATTATATTGTGTTTAAATTTGCTAATATTGTTTTTTTTGCTCATATTGTGTGTTTGGACAACCTGCTGCTGTAACAACACAATTTCCCAGTTTGGGATCAATAAAGTTATTCTATTCTATTCTATTCTATTCTATTCTTATTCTATTCTTATTCTTATTCTTATTCTTATGCCTATTCTATTCTATTCTATTCTATTCTTATTCTATTCTTATTCTTATTCTTATTCTTATGCCTATTCTATTCTATTCTATTCTATTCTATTCTATTCTATTCTTATTCTATTCTTATTCTTATTCTTATTCTTATTCTTATTCTTATTCTTATGCCTATTCTATTCTATTCTATTCTATTCTATTCTTATTTCTATTCTATTCTATTCTATTCTATTCTATTCTATTCTATTCTATTCTTTTGCCTATGCCTATACCTATTCTTATTCTTATTCTATTCTATTCTATTCTATTCTATTCTATTCTATTCTATTCTATTTTATTTTATTCTTATTCTATTCTATTCTATTCTATTCTATTCTTATTCTATTCTATTCTTATTCTATTATTATGCCTATTGTATTGTATTGTATTCTATTCTATTCTTATTCTATTATTATGCCTATTGTATTGTATTCTTATTCCTATTTCTATTCTATTCTATTCTATTCTATTCTATTCTATTCTTATGCCTATCCTATTCTATTCTTATTCTATTCTATTCTATTCTATTCTATTCTATTCTATTCCATTCTATTCTATACCTATTCTTATGCTTATGCCTATTCTATTCTATTCTATTCTATTCTTATTCTATTATTATGCCTATTGTATTGTATTGTATTGTATTCTTATTCCTATTTCTATTCTATTCTATTCTATTCTATTCTATTCTATTCTATTCTTATGCCTATGCCTATTCTATTCTATTCTATTCTATTCTATTCTATTCTATTCTATTCTATTCTATACCTATTCTTATGCTTATGCTTATGCTTATGCCTATTCTATTCTATTCTATTCTATTCTATTCTATTCTTATTCTATTATTATGCCTATTGTATTGTATTGTATTGTATTGTATTGTATTGTATTGTATTGTATTCTTATTCCTATTTCTATTCTATTCTATTCTATTCTATTCTATTCTATTCTATTCTATTCTATTCTATTCTTATGCCTATGCCTATGCCTATTCTTATTCTTATTCTATTCTATTCTATTCTATTCTATTCTATTCTATTCTATTTTATTTTATTCTTATTCTATTCTATTCTATTCTATTCTATTCTATTCTTATTCTATTCTATTCTTATTCTATTATTATGCCTATTGTATTGTATTGTATTCTATTCTATTCTTATTCTATTATTATGCCTATTGTATTGTATTCTTATTCCTATTTCTATTCTATTCTATTCTATTCTACGTTACTTGGGCACGTTTTAAATTTTCAGTCTTCTGAAAAATGTGTTTGTTTTCATGCTGTGTTGTTCTGTAACTTGGTGTTTTTCTGTTTTGCCCTTCTGCGATGAATCTGAATGAAAATACTGAGTTTTTGAAAGTTTTGTAAACTTTTCTTTTAAAAAAATATAATTCTTAAATGTGGAAACGACCCCACTAAAGAAAACAATCTGTGAGTAAACAAAGGTAAACAAAGCGAACAGTGACATCAGAACGAGGGTGGTCAGTCGTCCTTGTTCAGTAAGAGAGGAGCACACCTCTGGAAGAAGACACGCTCATACCCCATGGTGGTTTATTTTACCCTCCTATTATATCAAAGAAGTATTTCTCCTCTTGAATCGTTCCATAACAAGTCTTCACTGTGTTTCTGTAGGCTCAACACTTTGTTCCTCTGATCCAAAAAAAACTCCCTTTGTATCAACCAGGAATCCTCCAGAGACTCACCTATCATCTCCTGTCACAGAAAGAAGTATTCAATTTGACTGCTCATGTATACAACCCCCCCTCCCCCTCCCCCCCCTCCCCCCCTCCCCCTCCCCCTCCTCCTTCCTCTCCAGCACCGTTAAACCTAAACTGGCCACCATAGAGGAAATGGCTAAATTCCACACAGACTCTTACCTGGAGCATCTTCACAAGATCAGCCAGGACGGAGACAACGACGACCCCCAGTCGTCCGACTACGGCCTGGGTGAGAACAGACAAGAATCCCTTCTTTTTAGCATCGAACAAATAAATGACTATCTGTGAATTCTATCTCTGTCAGGATCAAGTTTAATTTCCAGTCATTAAGTCTGTTCCCTCATAGGAGATTTATTTGAAGCATTTTTTTTTCTCTGGTCCAAACAAATCCAGAGCATTCAGGAGCAGAATCTAAAGTTAGAAGGAGGACATACTGGCTGCTGTGTTGTTGTCAGAGAAGCACTTCAACATGTTTCCTGTCTGATCAGATAGTGAGGTCACTTTATCTTTCAGTCAGTAGAGATCTCTATTGAATTCTGCACATTTATAGTCTCAGCACTGAAGTGTTTGATCTGACCTTATCTCCGCTTGTTGTTCGTTTCATTTTAATATGAAAAGTGGAGGGTAAACAGCCGGGGGGAAAAGCTGCAGTTTAAAAAAAAAAAAAAACTTCATGCCGTGTTTAATTGTCTCCACCAGAGGGCGCTGTATCGCAAAATGAAAGAAACAACAACAATGTATCTCCTCCAAAGAGAAAACACAAACAGAGGTTTTTAATCAACTTATGTTGCTCTCCTTTTTCATGATGTTTGTTTACTTTAGTTAAATAAAAGGAATAAACTATGAGAGATGTTTTAACCCCGAGTCCCCCCCCCCCCCCCCCTGAACTAGGTGGGATCTCCTTAAAAAATCCACCGAAGTTGTTTTTCTTGGATGGACTCATTCAAAGTCCACGTTTCCCCGACGTTTATATTTCTGACTTGAGACTTATCCTCAAGTTCACCCATCTCTCCTCTTCATGTCTCCTCTTCATGTCTCCTCTTCATGTCTCCTCTTCATGTCTCCTCTTCATCTCTCCTCTTCATCTCTCCTCTTCATGTCTCCTCTTCATGTCTCCTCTTCATCTCTCCTCTTCATCTCTCCTCTTCATCTCTCCGCTCCTCTTCATGTCTCCTCTTCATCTCTCCTCTCCTCTTCATGTCTCCTCTTCATCTCTCCGCTCCTCTTCATGTCTCCTCTTCATCTCTCCTCTTCATGTCTCCTCTTCATGTCTCCTCTTCATCTCTCCTCTTCATGTCTCCTCTTCATCGCTCCTCTTCATCTCTCCTCTTCATCTCTCCGCTCCTCTTCATGTCTCCTCTTCATCTCTCCGCTCCTCTTCATGTCTCCTCTTCATCTCTCCTCTTCATCTCTCCTCTTCATCTCTCCTCTTCATCTCTCCTCTTCATCTCTCCACTCCTCTTCATGTCTCCTCTTCATCTCTCCGCTCCTCTTCATCTCTCCTCTTCATGTCTCCTCTTCATCTCTCCTCTTCATGTCTCCTCTTCATCTCTCCTCTTCATGTCTCCTCTTCATCTCTCCTCTTCATGTCTCCTCTTCATCTCTCCTCTTCATCTCTCCTCTTCATGTCTCCTCTTCATCTCTCCTCTTCATGTCTCCTCTTCATGTCTCCTCTTCATGTCTCCTCTTCATCTCTCCTCTTCATGTCTCCTTTCATCTCTCCTCTTCATGTCTCCTCTCCTATTCATCTCTCCTCTTCATCTCTCCTCTCCTCTTCATGTCTCCTCTTCATGTCTCCTCTTCATCTCTCTTCTCCTCTTCATCTCTCCTCTTCATCGCTCCTCTTCATCTCTCCTCTTCATGTCTCCTCTTCATCTCTCCTCTTCATGTCTCCTCTTCATGTCTCCTTTTCATCTCTCCTCTTCATCTCTCCTCTTCATCTCTCCTCTTCATCTCTCCTCTTCATGGCTCCTCTTCATCTCTCCTCTTCATGTCTCCTCTTCATGTCTCCTCTTCATGTCTCCTCTCTCCTCTTCATCATAGATTCTTCTGTTTCCTTGTTTAGTGTTCACTTTGTTTGTTTGTCTTCCTCCAGGTTATGACTGCCCGGTGGTGGAGGGGATCTATGACTATGCAGCAGCAGTAGGGGGCGCCACACTCACAGGAGCCCAGTGTTTGAACGAGCAGAAGTGTGACGTGTCTATTAACTGGGCTGGAGGATGGCACCATGCCAAGAAGTAAGTCAGCATGTTCTGAACCCGGAGTGTTAATGCAGATGTTAGATCATGTTGTCCTGAAGGGGGCGCTCCAGGCAAAGGTCAGACTATAAAACCCTTTCTCTTCTCTCTCTCTCTCTCTCAGGGATGAGGCGTCAGGTTTCTGTTATGTAAACGATGCCGTGTTGGGAATCCTCAGACTGAGGGAGAAGTACGAGCGAGTCCTCTACGTGGACGTCGACCTGCATCACGGAGACGGTACACAAACAAACAAAAACCAACAAACAAGAAAGAAATATGAAACACAATTTGAAATGTAGAGTCTGGAACAAGGATAACACACGGTTAAAAATAACAATATTCAGTTTGAGGAAGTATCATCAAAGTCATCAAACCTGGAGTAATAGTTGACATCACTGCCCCCCCCCCCCCCCCCCCCTGCAGGTGTAGAAGATGCTTTCAGCTTCACATCCAAAGTCATGACCGTCTCTCTGCACAAGTTCTCTCCTGGATTCTTCCCAGGTCGGTCTCTTCACTTTGTTTCATGTTCAACATGTTTCACTGCAGTGTTTGATAACACGGTGTGTGTGTGTGTTTGTTTAGGCACAGGCGACCTGAGCGACACGGGGCTGGGGAAAGGCAGGTGGTACGCCGTGAACGTCCCGATGGAGGACGGCATCAAGGACGACAGATACTTCCAGATTTTCACCAGGTAGAGTGTCGACTCAGGAACTCCCCCCGTGCAGCTCTGAAGGGACGTTTCTCTCCAGGATCCCTGAGGATGAAGTCTTTGTTTCTCCACCCAGAGATCAGAAGTCAGGGTCATCCATAGAGATCTTCCTTAGAGCTAATGCTGACTCAGCGTTTTATTCAGGGCCCTTCAGCCCCAGGATTCCTTCCATCATGAGAGCTTAAACTCAGGATTGCAAACTTAAGCGTTAACTCAGTGTTTGGACGCTTAAGTTTGAAGCATGCATCCTGTAGTTTGAGCAGTTTTTCTAGATTAATGTTTCATCCAATCACAGGAAGGAAAACCTGTGACATCATGTTGAACTATAGTCTCCCTTTTAACTCAAAGCTTTTGGTTCTGAGGCATTAAACATCTATTTTTGAGCAATGATGAAGAGAGTGATACGAGTAGCAGTCGTCTTAGTCTTGCCTGATTGGCTGAGACACCTGTCAATCAACTTCATATATAAACCAATCAACTCCAAACACGACCTGACCTCTTTTTTTCCAGAGTTTCGACAAACACGAGCAGGAAAACAAAATGTTTACTGGTGTTTTTTTTGCAGTGTGATGCAGGAAGTGCGGGCGCAGTTCAACCCGGAGGCGATCGTGATGCAGCTGGGCGCCGACACCATGGCGGGCGACCCCATGTGCTCCTTCAACATGACCCCTGTGGGGGTGGGCAAGTGTCTGCAGTACGTCTTAGGCTGGCAGCTACCCACACTGCTGCTGGGAGGAGGTACGCTAAACGAGTGTGTGTTTATTATTCTGTGCGTGCGTGCGTGCGTGCGTGCGTGCGTGCATGCGATACCCCCATGAAGAGATAGATGATGTACCAAGAACTTTATTGTGTTTGTACTTTTTTTAAATTAGTTGATTCACTTACAAAATTACACACACACACATATATATGGATGTACACACACACACACACACACACACACACACACACATATATATATGGATGTACACACACATGTAAACACACACACCATGCTCTGTTCCAGACCCCTCAGCCCTCGGCCAGATGATCGCTTCTACTTACACGACACAATGAAGCTATTTTACTCCACTACAATCCCACCTCTCTTCCTGTCTCTCTCTCTCTCTCTCGCCCTTTCTCTCTCTGTCCCACATACTTTCTCTCTCTCTGTTATATTCTCCTCTATGTCTTCGGTTCTTCATTTTCCTCAAGTCCATCCTCTTCTTCCGTCTCCATCTTTTAAGAGTCACGCCCGAATCAACACATTTGTGAGAATCAATCCATCACATGTTTTTAGATTCACCATCAGCTGTCTGTCGGGGTTGTGAGCCGCCTTCAGACAAACTTTGGTGGGTGGGTCTTGTTTACAGCAGAAAAAAGAGAGAGCGGGCCGCACACTGTTCAGCTGTCAATCCAGAGGCTCGTCCTCAGGCTCTGATTGGCTCATTGGGATCTGAACCCTCATTATCTGTCTTCCTTTTTGTCACCAGGGGGCTATAACCTGGCTAACACGGCTCGTTGTTGGACCTACCTGACCGCCGTGGTGCTGGGAAAGACTCTGTCCTCGGAGATACCAGACCACGAGGTACGACACACACACACACACACACACACACACACACACACACACACACACACACACACACACACCACACACACACACACACACACACACACACTACTGCCTACATGAACACAAACGCGCTCATTCATCGTACGGTCACACAAAATCACGACCAGCACGCACACGCACGAAAACCACAAACACACCCCCCCCTTGTGTTCACTGTCTGCTGAGTCACGCCATCTAATCAAAGATGGCCGCCCGCTTCTCAATAAAGGGGTCTGTCTTCAGGTGAGTCAGACTGTGTGTGTGTGTGTGTGTGTGTGTGTGTGTGAAGGAGAAGGGTACAGGTGATGACAAATCCTCTCAGCCCCCCCCCCCATCTAAAGAGTCCCCCCTCTCTCTCTCATTTAGCAGAAAGGTGATGTGTTTTTTTTACAGTGTAGTTGAGTCAGGAAACAGTTCAAAGAGAAGCCGTTTTCACATCTGCACTTTGGATAATATCTAGATATTTACAGGAGACTTCTCCGGAGATTCTCTCCGACCTAGTCGTTCACATATGCTCCTCTCAGGGGGACTTTCCCTGTCGGGGGGGGGGATTTCCTGAGGTAAGACGTGACGTAAATAAACAACGTGGAAGTATCGGCCGAAGCAACAGAGTCCGCTACACGACGTTATAATGAGAATATTTACCTTCATATCAATGCTACGTGTAATCCAAGAGAGGAGAACAACATACTGACGAACAGAAAACAGAATGCAGCAGGTTCATTACGTGCACGGAGATCGTAGAGGTCGCGTGTAGACACTTTAGCCGGTCACTATATAAACATCACTCGGGTCCCATTGGCTCAAATTGAAAATCTCCGGAGTATATTCTCTGTGATTTCTGTGGATAAAATACGAGGGGTCTGGCCGGAGAAACTCCGGGTAAAGTCTGCTTGAAAAATGCGTCTGTTTGTTTCACACATAGCCTAAAAACCTCCGGGAGCCAAATCTCTGGAGTTTTTCAGGAGTATGTGTGAAAAGGGTTAGAGAGAGGAACTCAGTGAGTACGGTTACAGGCAGTTAAAAATAGTCGATTTCTGTCAGTCTACTACAACACAACACAACACAACACAACACAACACAACACACACCTACACAACAGGATTTCTCTGATTGTGAACATTGAATAGGTTCATTTTAAGATTTCAAATCGGGGGGGTCCCTGATCGTCTTCTGAGCTGATCGGGGAGACGTTTAAAATCACTCTCAACACGCCTCACACCTCAGGAGTGAAGATAATCTTTAGATCCATCAGATAGTCGGAGCCTTTGCTGACTTTGGTCTGTAGGGGGGAAACGGAGCATTGAGCCCAGTACTCTCAGCCCGGCTGATTGGACACCACACCTACAAATTACAAAAGAGAAGGCACAACCAGGGCCGTCACATAAACACACACATAATACACATTTTTTCTATATTATTAAATGTACTTTCTTTCTTTTTGTAGTTGTTTTATTCTATAGTGGTGTTTAGTCCATGATTCTGTATTCACAGTCAACAGGCCGGTCAGTCCAAGTGACCTGAGGTCACTGTGAATCATGTAAACACTGTAAGTGCAACTTAAGCTGCTCATTTTACTGTAAT